TATTCCTCCCTCCCTGCCCCCTAGCCCCTGGCAACCACTGATCTTTTTACTGTCTCTATAGTTTTGCCTTTTCCAGAATGTCATATAGTTGGTATCATACAGTATATACTCCTTTCAGATTGCCTTCTTTCACTTAGTAACATGCATTTAACGCTCCTCCATGTCTTTGCAAGGGTTGATAGCTCATTTCTTTTTTAGCACTGAATACTATTCCATTGTCTGGGTATACTACAGCTTATTTATCCATTCACATACTGAAGGACATCTTCGTTGCTTACAGGCTTTGGCAGTTATGAATAAAGCTGCTATAAACATTCACATGCATGTTTTTGTGTGGACATAAGTTTTCAGCTCCTTTGGGTAAATACCAAGGAGTGCAATTGCTGGATCATATGGAAAGAGTATGTTTATTTTTGTCAGAAACAACCAAACTTTCCTCAAAAGTGGCTGCACCATTTTGCACTCCCACCGCGATGAATGAGGGTTCCTGTTGCTCCACATCCTCACCAGCATTCGGTGTTGTGAGTGTTCCAGATTTTGGCCATTCTCGTAGGTGTGGAGTGGTATCTTCTTGTTGTTTTAATTTGCAATTCCCTAATGACACGTCATGCTGAGCATCTTTTCATGTGCTTATTTGTCACCTGTATATATTCTTTGAAGTGTCTGTTCAGATCTTTTGCCCATTTTAAAATGAGGTTATTGTTTTTCTTTTTAAAAAATGTTTATTTTATTACTTTCCAGTTTTATTGAGGTATAATTGACATTTAACATTGTGTAAACTTTGTCCATCCTGAGGCTGCATGTGTGGGCTGGACCACGCAAACAAGCTCTGAAGGCCTGGTTTTCACACTCCACTCCCACCTCCCTGCCTTCTCTCCACCAACCTGTTTGTGTTAAGACTTTCTTTCTCCAATTCCCACACTCTCTCCTAAGTGGTTAAACCTGCAGACTAGAAATATAAAGTGGGCTGCACGACTTGATTTAACACCGCAATTTGCTCTTAGGAACCAATGCCATATTTAACGTAGGAGTGTAACTGGCTCCTCATTATTTTTAAAAGAATAGGTGGCTTCTTCGTGACTGAGAAACCCACCCCCTGAATGCTTGTCCTCTCTCAAGAGTGAGAAATAGAAACACACAAACACACACACACACAGGGGAGAGAACATGGTGGCCACGTCTCTTCCAGGGCAGCCCAGGGCAGAACTCACGTAGGCCAGTGCTGCCGCTGTGGCCCCTGGGGAAGCCTGCTCAGGCCGTGTTCTTCCTCCCCAGCCTGGATGGGAAGGAATTTTCTTTGGCTGCTGGAATAACACCATCCCCTTCCCCACTGTCTGTGTACGCCATCCCTGCCTGAGTGAGGTCCCCGATTGGGTCTCAGGAGACCAGGAGTTGGCCTTAAAGCTTGATTTTATTTTATCTGCACCTTGTGTACCTGTGTTCTCTGCAAAGAGGCCACTCATTTGGAGGAAAAGAAATCTCTTGCTATTATTTCTACCCACCCTCACCTCCAGAACTAGAAAATTTGACCTCAGTCAGACCTATTACCACTGATCTGCTCTCAGTTGGCCATTATTCTGCTTGTCCTTTGACATCTTTTGAGCTTTTCTCTTTCACAAGGACTCTTTCACATCATCCCTCTTTCTTCTGACTCCATAAGCCACATAGTGTTTGCAACTCACTTCTTAATTCATTCCTCACTATATTTAAGTGTATGAATCCATGCATCTGCATCCTCTCCTTCAGTGGACAGTGGGGCCCTTTGTTGCCTTCCTATCATCTGGCCTCTAGCAGGCTCCCAGGAAGTGCTTTTTGGTTGGATTATGATGTCTATCTGATGCCTCATTAGGAGACAGATTTAGGCTTTAGGAAGAGGCAGCTAACCTGTCTCCCTTCCTACCTAGGAAATGGAGCTGGATAACCTATAGGACTGTAGGAAAATTCTTCTCCTTAAAACAAAAGGAACTCAGATCACCCCGGAGGAGGATCATGTAGTGGGGAGGGTCGGCTGGATCTCATGACCTGACTTCATCTGCAAGAGTCTCCTTCTCCTGTGGGCTTTCCCCCATTCCTGCCACCACCATCACACTGGTCCAAATGTGAACAAATGACTCTTGTACCTTGACAAAAAAACAAAACCGAGGAATATACACATTGAGTTACGTACAACTAGATAACCTGGCTAATGGGCTGGAGCTCACTTATCTTCAGTTTGTGGTCCATCACGGGATCTTTCCCTTCCAAGCTCCTTGTGTCCCCCCAGATGGTGCATGGCATCAAGGGTGATGGATACACAGGTACTTGTTATGTTATTCTTTACACTATTCTAGACGCTTGGAATATGTCTTCTAAAAAGACTTTAAAAGAGGAGTACAAATACTGACCGCCACCATCTAATACTTTCATCCATTAGCACTGCCCTCTGTGTGCGTTGGCGGTATAGTGGTGAACATAGCTGCCTTCCATTAACACTGCCCTCAAGCACACTAAATAGCACTTAGAATACATTACATAAGAAATAACAAATCTATTCTTATCTTAAAAAGTTGACTTGTGTGTGTGTGTGTGTGTGTGTGTGTGTGAGGAAGACTGGCTCTGAGCTAACATCTGTTGCCAGTCTTCCTCTTTTTGCTTGAGGAAGATTGTCACTCAACTAACATCTGTGCCAATCTTCATATGTTTTATGTGGGATGCCACCACAGCATGGCTTGATGAGCAATGGTAGGTCCACAACCGGGATGTGAACCTGCAAGCCCCAGGCAGATGAAGCAGAGTGCACAAACTTAACAACTATGCCACTGGGCCGGCCACTTAAAATGTTGATTCTTGGCTTGAGTAAAGAATGACGGGAGCACACTAAGGTGCTGTTCAAAAGTAATGGCCAAGAAAGACATACCATGTTCACAGACTGGAAGGCTTAACGTAATAAAGATGTCAAGTCTCACCACATAGGTCTACGGGTTTAGCGCAATTCCCATCAAAATCCCAGAGAGGTTTTATGTAGCTATAGATAAGATTATTTTAAAACTTGTATAGAAAGGCCTTACAATAGCTAAAACAATCTTGAAAAAGAAGACTAAGGTAGGAGGAATCACTGGACCTGATATTAAAGCCAATTACATAGCTACAGTAATTAGACAGTGTGGTATTAGTGGAAGGATGGACACATTGATCAATGGAACAGAAGAGAGAACCCAGAAATAGACCCACACAAATATGTTCAACAGATTCTTCACAAAAGTGAAAATAACCCAATGGAGTGAAGATAGCCTTTTCAACAATGGCGCTGGAGCAATTGTATATTTATAGGCAAAAACATGAGCCTTGACCTAAATATCACACTTTATGAAAAAACTAACTCAAATGGATCATGGACGTAAATGTAGACATAAAACTATAAAACTTTTAGGAGAAAACCTTGGGGATCTAGGGCGAGGCAAAGAGTTCCTAGACTTGACTCCCTCCAGAAGGCTGGATACAGATGTGGGGGTTGGGGGGAGACAGCGCAGTTGGCTTGTTCTAGGCTTGGAGATCTTGCCTTCTCTTTCTTAAGGGCAGTAAAGAAGCAATGAAGCATTGGCTGCTTTCCGTTTCAAACTGAGAATTACACGACCACATGCTTTCACTGTCTTCCATCGCCCCAACTCTGGGCTCTGCAGGGTTAGAGGTCCTGCTCCCAAGGGGAACACGATCACCAGGAAACCCAGCAAGGGACCCATTGAACTACATCCTATGGCTGCTGCCTGGGCACTTTAGGATCCTTGTGTCCAGGAGCCAGCAAGCAAGAAAAGGGGTGACATCTTGTTGAAGGCAATCGCCTGGTCAGCAGAGGAGGGAGGGCTGCTTTTATCCAATAGGGGCAGGGAGGAATATGGGTGGAACTCAGGTGACCCACTTGGGTACTTCTTGATACTTTGTATCCAATGGCAGCTGTGAATGGACAAACCCAAGCACCTCCAATCTGAAAAAGATATAGTCACCAAGGACTCAGAGGCCCCAGGAATGCAGATTTGGGCCATGCTATCAGGTAAGCAGTTGAGAGCAGAAGAGGTAGCAAAGGGAAATTAGAATGGATAGTGAAGGAAGAAGACACTGAGTATCAGTTTCAGTCCTGAGACCAGCGGCAGCAGAGGCTGTACATTGTCCTACTTATGTCCCTTTTCTACGTTTGCCTTTAGCACATCAATGCAACTTCATAATATCCATCCAAACTTATTATCCTTATCGTTATCATTCCTCCAAAAAGTTTTAAATGCCTGAGTCATTGCACTAGTCAACACACTGCCTTCCCCCTGCACACCATCCCAGCTCGCTACTGGCAAAAGTTGAACAGCTGGATGGCCACCTTGAGCCGAGAGCTGTCTGCCCACCACCTCCTTACCAGTTGGGTATTGAGCGACCCAGTCCCCAATTCCCATCTCGGAGCCTGCTCTCTCAGAACACTCCTGGCACCAACTATTGCAGGTGGATTCCTCTGTGAGGCAGACACGGAGATGAGTGTAAAAACCCTGCTGAGGGGTAAAGGAGAAGGGAGGAAGCAGGACGGGACAGGGGAAGCCTTCAGACCACGATGCAGAGCCGACAACCTCTCTGGCAGACCAACAGGGAGCTTTGGAACAAAGATGGCGGTTTGGAGCAGTCCCACAGGGGTCAGCAATGGGTGAGCTCTTGTACCCTGACCTTGCTCAGTCAGTCATGGGACAGGGGCTTCCCTGAGAAGAAGGCTTGAAAGCTGAGGCAAACCTTGAAAGACCGAATAGCTGGAGGCTGTCACGAACCAAGATGCTTGAAGCTGCATAGAGAATCCTTTCATGGAGGGGGATCTGAGCGTGCGCACATCTCCATGTCTGCCCTCTGGGGCACGTTTTTCTTATGGCAGAGACGGGGCGCAGCGGAGCAGGTCCAACTGAACCAGCACATTTGAAGCCCCCGCTTACGGCAGGCCTGCTAACACCTGATTGCTGGAGCCAATCACATGGTCTAGTCTAAGGCGAGGGAGCATGGAGGTACGCTCCGCCCACCTTGAGGCCGCGGCCAGGGTGAATACGCCACACCGGAGGGAAGAGTTGGGACCAAGAGTTAGAGCCACACCGGAAAAAGGCCGTTTGTAAACGTTAGAGCTCTGTCCTTACTTGTTACTATTATTACTACCTGTCCAAGAGACCAGGTACCACAGACAACCCTTAGGAAGGAAAATCGCTTGACTGAAAAATCAGATTTAGTACCTGGAAGTCAAAATTGCGGTTCGGGATGGGAAAGGCCAAAGCACATCACCACCACCACGCCGTCCTCCAAAAGCCCCTGCAGAGCCGCTCCCAGGCTGACCCGGCTGCTGGACGCACGTCGGCCTGGTGGATCAATAGCAATTTGGGGCGCTAGCGGGGGCGCCATCTGAGTAACTCGGGTCATCTGAACACGATGAGTGCCGGCTGCTTTCCGTGTCCTTGGGGAGGCGCGCGCACCATCACTTAGCGCTGGAGCCTGGCCATTCTCGGGCACTCCCCCGCCTCCGCCTGGCGGGGCCTCGATGCTCCTGCCTCTTCACCAGTTCCTCCTGTCCTGCGCGCTCCGGGGAGGATGGAGGCTGCGGGGCCGCCCCAGGCCAGGAGGTGCTGCCGGGAGGCCCTGGAGAAGCTCTTCCCTCGCCTCTGCTTCCTCTGCTCCCTGGTGACCTACGCGCTGGTGGGTGCCGCCCTCTTCTCGGTCATTGAGGGAGGCCAGGACCTGGGGGCAGAGGATGGGGGTTTGGAGGAGTTCTTGGAGAAGCTCTGTGGCATCTTGAAATGCAACAGAACAGGTAGGTGGTTCACCTGGACAGGGCGGACCTTTTCTCGGTGGGTGGAGGCAGCCCCCAGATAGATAAGGGCTGCCTTTCAGGAGGCTGGGTCTGGGAGCCCTCTGCTTGTATCCACCCCATTCCTGGGCTACCTTAGGCAAGTGACTTCTCCTCTCTGAGCTTCAGTTTTCTCCTCTGTAAAATGGGGAGATTAAGGGCCTCTCAGGGTTTCTATGAAGAATGTAGGAAAAGCACTGAGCACCCAGTAGGTGCTCTGGAAAGACCACTCCCTTCCCTTTGCCTCAGCTCCCAGCCCCACCCAGACCCGCAGGCTCTGGAAAGGATGGATTGCTGGAGATTTGGTGAGGTGGGGTGGGGTGGTTGGGTGACCACATCTGGGGCTGGGGGTTCCTAGGCTGGTCCTCAGAACTACGCCTGTCCCACCTCATGATTCAGTTTACAGGGACTAGAATTCAAGGAACACTCCAAATTGGGGTTGGAACCCCCAAAACAGCAGCCTGCCCCCCTACTCTCTCACTTCCTCTTTCAAAGGGCCTTCTCTGTTGTCGGACTCAGGGGAAGCGGGGAGGGGTTGTGAGAAGAACTTAGCGGCCTGATTCTAGTCCCGAGTTGCTCTACCAGTTTGCTGTGTGATCCCAGGCAGACCTGTTGCTCTCTCTGGGTCTCAGTGTGCTGGGCAGAAGGGGGCCCACAGTCTCAGGGACCTGTGGGAAGCAGATGAGATAATGGACATGAAGCCTTTTAGAGGGCACACGGCACTTTACATCCATCCTTATTGCATTTCATTTGTATTTAGTCACTTATTTCTACCCTGCTCTGCTCCCCAGAGCTTGCAAAGATGTATTCAATGAGTAAGATAGAATAATAGAGAGTAAATAAGTAAAGGACAAAGGAAAAACAGACTCTAAAAGTCAGGGGAAGAACAGGATCCCTCTGCTGGTAGTCAGGCTGCTCATGGCTCCCCCCGACCTTGCTGTGGGAGCAGGTCCTTTCAGCTGGGCTCGCTAGAGGCTGGTCATGGGAGGCAGAGTCTCCCTCCATGGGGGGTCCTACTCCTTCTCTCTGCATCCGTACCAGACAGACGCATGCCTACGCAGCTGACCTGGGAGATACCATCTGCAGTTGCTGCCACTCGGACACCCTAAGCCATCAGGGGTCTAGACTGTCCACAAGTCCAAGGCTTTCCAAACCTGGCCGTACATCAGAATCACCCAGGGAGCTTGTTTAAAATACGCATTCCCAGCTCTTCCCCCTAACCCACTTCATCAGGTCTCCAGGGCTGGGTTGGGAATCTTATTGTTAGAAAGTTTCCTCGGAGTGATTCTGATGCACGGAGTGATGTGGGAACACAGAGCTGGTCCGACCCCATTCTGTGCTGATTTTCGTTGGCGATTAGAACGCTCAATGAGTGCCAGCTAAGTACAGACCCTGTGCTGAGTACCTTTCTTGCATTATCTCACTGAATCCTCACACCAACCCTATGAGGTGGGTATGAATTGTTTCCCTTTTACAGATTAGGAAACTGAGGCACTGGGAGTTAACCAACTTGCCTAAGGTCATAAACTAGAAAATGGAGCCAGGGATTCCACCACAGGCATTTGGACACCAGAACCAGAGCTTTCTACCACCATGTCATGCTGCCTGCTTGATGGGGAAACTGAGGCTCAGCAAGAAGCCTGTTATCCAAGGCTTCAGGAACTAGTCAGGGTCAGAGCTGGGTCTAGAATGCAGGGGTCTGGACTCCCACGTTGGTGCTCATTCCAGTGAATAGTGACTTCCTGCTGTGGGCCAGGCCCTGTGACATCCTCTTATGACTGACTGTATCAGAGTCGGGCAAGTGGCTTCTGGGGTCCCAAAGCCCACTGGCTACAACCCAAAGGAACCATTTGGGAATCTCTCTGAGAAACCAGGGCCCCGACCCAGCTATGTTGGTCTAGGGGCGGATGTTTTGGAAGCCAAGGCTTCCCAGACATCCTCAGGCAGCTGGTGCCCACCGATCCCAGTGTGATCACCAAACTCCATCAGGCTTAATGAGCTCCAGGAGTGGGTACAGTTGCATCCACGTAACAGGTTGCATTTCATAAAAGCCTTTTTGCATTCAGTTCTCAAGAACTTGGTGAGAGAGAACAGCAGAAGTTGTTTTGCCCCTTTGCAATGTGAAAGAAATGAGGCTTAGAAAGTCCATAAAGCCCCCTAAGGCCGCACAGCAATTCCATGGCTGAGCGCAGGCAGACCCTCAGGGCGTCTCCCTTGGGTGCTCGTCTCATGGGGCTGTGTGGCTTCCTAATCTCTGCAGGCCCTGGAGCAGGACCTAAACTTCAGAGACATTTAAAAGCAAGGCTTTGATGTTGATGGGACCACAAGGCAGGGGGCCTGCTGGTGCCTCGGGCAGACCCTGCCCTTCACCTGGGTGGGACCTGTCTCGAAGGGTGGAACCCTCTTCCTCACTCTGGTTGTCTCTGTCTTGAGTTGAAGAAGGCAGGAAACAGGATCTCGGGAAGCTGCTGCAAGAGGTGAAGCCCCACTGGTTTAGCAAGTCTGCAGACTGGACCTTCCTGAGCTCACTCTTTTTCTGCTGCACAGTGCTCAGCACTGTGGGTAAGTCCACGGGCAGGGGCAGGCCTGGGAGAGGGACCTGGGGAAGAGGGTGGGGGAAGAGGCAGGCTAGGGACCCTTGGTGGGGTTGCTGGAATGTTCAATTCATTTAGTGCAAGAAACGGTTGTACCGGGCCTACTGTGCATGGGTGGGCACTGCTCCCAGCTCGGGGATACAGCAGTGATCAGGGCTGCCACTGGCCCGCAAGGCACCTTTGTATCAATTAGAAAAGAGCGCCCTTCCTTCAGATGGGTGCAGCCCCATGCCTAGGCGTAGGCCCCAAGATGTGAGCATCTCATCCCCTCCCGCCCCTCAGCTGAGTGTTCTTGTACAAAACACCACCTGCCAGGGACCTGCCTGCCCAGGTTCCTGCAAGACAGAGGCACTTGGGCCAACCAAACGCTGTCAGCGTGTGATGTGCTCAGGGTATTGTGGGAGTACAGCTGCCCCAGCCTTGGGGGTGGTCCAAGATGCAAGACTTAAGTGGTGAGCACATGTTAAAGGCCCCCTGGGGGTGACAGCCATGCTGAGTCTGAGTGAGAGAGCAGGAGTCACCAGCGAGGGGGAAGGTGGGGCCTGAAGAGGACACTCCAGGCCAGGAGGACAGTAAGGGCAAAGGCCCAGTGGCAAGAGGAATGACAGCATTGTAAGGAGGTTAAGTTAGGGGTGGAGAGGGGCGAGAGAGAGGAGGGGCCATACCATGGGAGGGCCCTGCCAGCCCGGCTAAGGAGGTTGGGTTTATCTTGAGAGCAATGGGGAGCATCCAGAGGGTTTTAAGTAAGGGAAGGACATGGTAGCCCAGCATTCCAGAAAGTTCATCCAGCTGCAGGGTGGAGGTGGACCAGAGAGGGTAAGATTGGCAGCAGGGAGATCAGTAGGGAGGTTACTGGAAGAGTCTAGGTGAGAGATGATGATGGGCTAGCCTAGACTATGGCCATGAGGGTGGAGAAGAGGGGTGGACTGCAGGAACACTTTAGAGGAAAATCTGCAGCAGGCAAATACAAGAGTGAGGGGAGGAAGATGCTAAGCCTTTAGCTTGGCTGCCCGGGATAGGTAGACTTGGGGGACGGTGGGGAGGATGCTGGGCCCGGGGGATGGAGGTGAGGATTCAGGGCCAGTCAAGGTTGAGGCTCCAGTAGTGCCTCCAAGGGGAGATGCCCAGCGCTGCTGGAAATGTGGGTCTGGGGCTCTGGGCAGGGCTGGCAAGGTGGGTTTCAGAGTCACCAGCATATAGATGGAGGAGAGCACTGGGGGGCGTGGCGTGGAGAGGGAGGGCCACATGCTGGAGTAGGACCTGGAGCACCAACATTTAGGTGAGGGAGGAGGGAGAGCTGCAGTGGTACGAGAGCCAGCAGTTACCCGTGGGGGTGTGCTAAGCTGCCTCCTGTAATGCTCACAGAGGTCTGTGAATCAGTTGGGGCATCCTGAGCCCAGGGAGGGTGATGTGAGGGGCCAAGGTCACTCAGTGAGTGGAGCTAATGCCCACAAATAGGCCTTAAGACTCCAAGCCCAGTGCTCTTTCCCCAAAGTACACTACCAGCCCTACAGGTTTGTGGGGTGCTTCAGGGACCCTTCCCACCTTCCTCAGGGAGCCTCAAGCTGTGCTTGGGAGGCAGGAGCAGCTCGGAGAAGATGGCCGTACCGGGAAGGGAAGGCAGCCGGGTTCACCTGTTCCCTGCACTTGCTTTATATTTGTCTCCAGCCCCCAAACAAAGGAAATTCCTTATGTGCAAGTCATCGACCCAGGGCAGTCCGTTCCAGAGCGTGGGGGGGACGGGGGCAGAGGGGAGTGTGCAGGGTCAGAGCTGCCCCCTGCAGTGACCACTCCCTCATCTAAAGACGGGCTCTGTGGACCCTCAAAGCCACAGACTCTCTTCTCAGTGGCCTTGCAAAGGATGGGCTCCTGGGTGACAGAGGACACTGGAACTGGGGTGAAGAGGTGGCCTTTGCAGGCAGCCTTCATTCATTCATTCATTCAACAAATATTTACTGAATACCTACGATTCCAACAGCAGCAGCTGCGCTGGCTAACACGTATGTGTTGAAGACGTGCCGGGCTCCGTCCGTTCTAAGTTCTCTATGGTGATTAGCCCATCTAACCCTCACGACAACCCCGAGGTAGCTGCTTGTTGTTATTCCCACACAGCCGGAGGCAGAGGCAGGTCCGCCACTTCTGCGAGTTGCACAGCTTGTGCGCATCTGAGCTCAGGCTGTCTGGGTCCTCACCCCAAACTCCACTGCCTCTCTGTACACGACCTTCCGTGTTCCTGTGCAGGGGCTGGACTGGCTGGATGGCTCCCTGCTCTCCTGGGGCTCCTGGTCTAATGGAGGGGAGGGACAGTGAACAGCTAAGCATGGTGGTGAGTGCTCAGGAGAACCGGAGGCTGTGGGAGTGGCTAAAGGGGATGGGGAGGGTGGTCCTGATTTGTGGGTTGGGGAGGCGAGGCTTCCCCATGGAAGTGACAAGTGACATTTGAGCTGAAAGATCAGTAGAAATTAAGCAGGTACAGAAGGGCGAGAGAGCTTTCCAGGCTGAGGACACAGTAGGGCAAAACTGAGGCTTATAGGCCCTTTCAGGAGAAGACCAGTGTGGCTGGAGGGCAGAGAACGGGCCAGGAGGGAGGCGGGAGACACTGCAGGAGAGTTGGGCCTCCGGGGCTATGGGGTACAGGGCTGGTCTTGCTCTTGGGCCCTGTGTCCCTAGGCCAGCATCCGAGGACCCTCTAGTAACGAAGGGCCCCCAGCTTCCCTCTCCTGTGGTGCACTAGGGTGGGCTGGGTTGGAGGAGCCAAGCCAGGGCTGGCAGGAGCCTCTCCTGCTGGGGGTGGGGGTCACAAGAGGGGAGGTGGTGGAGATGCCCTCAGCCACGGCTCAGGAGCTCCTGGGTCAGTGTCCCCACCAGGAGTGTGGCCCATCGCTCAGCCCCTGTCCCTCTTGGCTAGTGAAAAGGACTGGGGGCCCTGTCTTCATTCAAGAGAATACCACTCCCTGGGAGGGCTAGGCTCACAAGGGTCACAGAGCCCGGGCCCTGTCTGGGAGCTCCCCCACGGTCCCCTCACTTGTGGTGGTGGTGGAGCACAGTGGCCAGCTGTGGACTCTGGAGGCTGACCACCTTGGCTCAGAGCCGTGTGACGTCCAGTGAAGGATGCAGCCATTCAGAGCTTTGTTCCTTAATCAGTAACTCCTCCCAGACCTTCCTCTCAGAGTCAGCATGAGGATCAGCTGACAACCACGTTTGTAAGTGTCAGCCAGGACGCCTTCAGCTGCAGCCAATGGAAAACCCAACCCAACTGGCTTAAACTGCAAGAAAAATGTAACCTCCCAATGGAGGACAGCTCTAGGGCTGGTCAATGTGCAGCTCAGCTGTGGCACTTGAGCATCAGATTCTCTCCATCCTGCTCAGCAGGTCACGAGATGGCCACCAAGGTTACTCCCCGTGCGGCATAATCACGGGTGATAGAGAAAGAGGGCTGGCGGTCATAATCAGCAGGGAAACTTTTCCTAGAAGCTTCCATTCCCGGATCCAGTCCCTGGCAAGGGTATTGGATTACCAATCAGATCTATCCTTAAATCAGGTGGGGAGTATCCAAGGAAGGTTGGCAGAAGGGCTGCTGGGTGGACAACCAGTGTCTGCAGCAACACGTTTTATAAATGGGCTCAGGCTTGTGCCCAAGAGCGCCCCCACGTGGTTTCCTTCAGAACCACCTGAATTCACCTGAATGTTGATAGAGGCAGGACAGATAATGGCAGAAAGAATAATATGGAGCACTTACCAGTGCCAGGCACGGTGTCAGCGTGCTTTATATGCATTATCTTGTTTAATTCTCACAACAACCCTCTGAGGTAGGTGCTCTGACTGTCCCATTTGGTGGCAAGCTAAGGCTCTGATGAGGAACTCATTGCCAGAGAGGCAGAGGCAGGGCACGGCTGGCCTTTATCAGGGGGACTCTCAGCTCCAGGGAGCAGTTACAGGGGAGCAGCCACTACAAGGAAGATGCTGGAGATGAGCAAAGGGGCTGAGAGTCTGGGGTTGAGTTTGTTTTTCCTGAGGAACTTCAGGGGGTCGATCTAATGTGGTGTTTCTCAGCCTCAGCACTATTAGCGTCTTGGACTAGATGACTCTTTGCTGTAGGGGGGCCTGTCCTCTGCACTGTATGAGGTTTAGCAGCATCCCTGGCCTCAACTCATCAGAGGCTCCCATCTCTTTCCCTGCTGTCCCCACCAGTTGCAGCAGCCAAAAATGTCTCTAGACCTTGTCCCATGGGGGGCAAAATTGCCCTCTGTTGAGAACCACTGCTCTAATGGTTATCAAAGTGTGGCTCCTGGACCAGTAGCATAAGCATCACCTGAGAACTTATTAGAAACGCAAATTAATTCTCAGGCCCCATCCTAGACCTAGAGTCAGAAACTATGGTTGTGGGCCCCGTGCTCTGTGTTTTAACAAGTTCTCCAGGTGATTCTGACACACGCTAAATTTGAGAAGGCCTGACCTGCTGCAGGCCTTCTCAGCCCTTTCCGCACATTGGGGTCGCCTGGCTATCTTCTACATGCTCCCCTGCCTGGGCCCTACCCCACAACAAGTCAGAATCTCTAGGGACCAGCCCAGGCATCAGTTTTTTTCAGAGCCTTCCAGGTGATTCTAAGGGGAGTCCAGGCTGCAAAACACTCATCTAATGGAAATGCATTAGCTTGCTTTAAATCCCACGAAAGCGAAGCTACTGTCCACTGTCCAAGTCAATTACAACATCATGCTGTCCAGTAATTACAACTGGAAGAGGATTCAGGGGTTTTCTGCGCTGCCCGTAATCAATGATGGTGTTGGAAGGCTGTGCTGGTAATCTTGCTTCCTATCCTGCATCTCTGGGTCACCTGAAATGTACCTGGCCTTGACACTGAGAAGGGACACCTGATGCTAGGTGTGAGGCTGGTCACTATCCAGTCATTTCCAGTTGGGTCAGCCCTCTTGGGGTAGAAAGTAAAGTGCATGGGCTATGAGATACCAGCTAAGTGGAGTGGACTGATGGCATTGGACTAAATGAATGCATGATAAGATGATATGATTTTCCATCATGCATTTCAGAATTCAGTAATTGGGGGAGTTAATGCATTCTCTTCCTGGGGGCCGTGTGCTCTCTAAGGCTTGCTTCCTTGATGCATTTTCTGGAATGTGGCATATCTTCTGGATTGTAACCATATCCCACCCAGAGGCAGCCCAAAGACTTTAGTTGTAATCCACAAAATCACATTTGCTAAGGGGAGCGTAGGGGGTGGGGGGGTGGGGGGGATGTGCAGTGGGGAGGTCTGTGGGTGAGCAGTGCACACCTTGTCAGCTGTGGGCTGTGTGACCCTGACTACGCTGTTCCTTGTCCATTAAATGCTTGGTAATTATGATGGTTGCTAGCAGTAGGGGTTTTGCTATGCAGGGAATTTTGACTCTTAAAGCCACTTTATAAATCCTGTAAGAAATGTGACATTCTTTTCTTTAAATAAAATAGATCTGACCCTGGGACCCCGTCCTGGAAGCTGGGGGGTTACTGCTGAGGAGCCTCTGCTGACTCTCCTAGGGTTGCATGAGAACTGGGGGGCTTATGCACTGTCTGGAGAACAAGGAGGCCCCCTGTCTATGGGCCCTCATGGCTGCTGCCGATATCCCTAAGGGCTGATGGCTCTGTGGGGCCCATGACAAGCTTGGGCACAGGAATCTTTGCTGACACCCAGGGCTGGGACTCCTCCGGGACTGCATGGTAGGGCTTATCTGAGCTCCTGCCCCCCACCTTCTCTCTCCCTTTGATCCTGCCCCCACCATGATCTCCTCAGTGGTTCTGGGCTTTCACTGAAGCCTGGATGAGAAGCTGTCCTGAGGCCACTTCTGCAAGCTCCTCTCCCTGAGGGATGGGCTGGAGCTGCTGGAGACCTTTGGGGAACAGGGAAGGGAAATAGAGGCAATTGAAACCTCCCAGCACTCTCTCAACCCATGGAGCAAGCCTGGGTTTCTGATGGGAGGTTTGGCCAATGCAGCCCCCACTCCTGACCCCTGGAGCATGGCCCCTGCTGGGTCCTGGCTGCAGCGTCCTGCTGGAACGGAGGACAACAGAGCTCAAGGCTCTGCTTCCCTCTCTGCTAGGAGCTCCTAGAGGGCGTGATCTCTGATCTCTGCCTGTTCGTCTTTGTACCCCCAACCCCGCCCGCAAGAGCCTGACATAAAGTAGGTGCTCAATAAATGCAGAATCCAGGATGAGTGCCTTTGTTCTAATTGCGCATAGAATATTCTGTTCTTTTACGTCCTTTATTGATCTCCATTTGTAATTACAGCCTCCTTAGTGTGGTTATGTGATTCATTATTTGCCCCATTTCTGCTTTGCTCACCACTGTGTCCCCAGCACGTGCAGTAAGCACCCAATATGTACATACATCAGCCCTCCATAGCCACAGAGTTTGCATCAGCTGAGTCAACCAACTGTAGATGGACAGGCCTATGACGGTTGTGTCTGTACTGAACACGTGCAGACTTTTGTTTTCTTGTATTGTCTAAACAATACAGTATAACAACTGTTTGCATACCATGTACACTGTATTAGGTATTATAAGGAGTCTAGAGATGATTTAAAGCATACGGGAGGATGCGTGTAGGTTATATGCAAATACTATGCCATTTTATAGAAGGGACTTGAGCATCTCCGGATTTTGGTATCCACAAGGGGTCCTGGAACCAATCCCGTGTGGATACTGAAGGATGACTATAATATGAATGTACATACAGAGTTAACAGCCCCTGCCATCCAATGGCGCCTCGTGGAACCAGCCTGGGTGGCATGGAGTGCTCTCCTACCCATGCAAACCGATGAGACCTGTCGAGGGCCACAGCCTTTTCCCAGGCCCGTGGTGAGCGTGGGCAACCTGAGCGCCTGCATGTTCCTGGAGGGCAGAGCCTGAAGCCAGGGTTTGGCACCGGGAGCTGCAGCCCTGGAGGAGATTGGGGCTTAGCCAGCCTAGGAAGTGCCTTCAAATTAATTTACATAATTGAGCTGGGATTTTCTGTATTAGTCATCCTTTATGGCATCAAAAATTAAACAGACATTAAATACAAAAGCTTTTTCCTTTTTTTGTTTTAAAGATTGGCACCTGAGCTAACAACTGTTGTCAATTTTCTTTTTTTCCCTTTTTTTTCTGCTTTTTCTTCCCAAAGCCCCCCAGTACATAGTTGCGTATTTTAGTTGTGGGTCCTTCTAGTTGTGACACGTGGGATGCTGCCTCAGCGTGGCCTGAGGAGCAAGTGCTAGGTCGCGCCCAAGATCCGAACCGGTGAAACCCTGGGCCACCTAACCGGAGCGCGTGAACTTAGCCACCTGGCCACGGTCCCGGCCCTTCCCTGTTTGTTGAAGTCACTGAAGCTTGTCCACTCCAGAAGCTCCAGCCCCCTGCGCTGTGGGGTTTGATATCTCTCTGCTGCTGTCCTTCTGTGGACTAAGGGTGGGAGTTGGGGTGATGGGCGGAGGGGGCTCCCGAAGAGCACGGAGGCCTCAGCCCACCCTCACCCTTTGCTCTGCTGACCTGTTCTTGCAGGTCAGAGGGTTCTGCCTCCTTGGTGCTCCCGACCCAGTGGAGATAAGAGCACTGGTTTGGGAGCCAGATGACCCTGGGGGTTTGACTCCCGACTCCACTCTGTCGCATGTGCTCTTGGCCAGGTTGCTTCTGAGCCCTAGTTCCCACCCCGCACCACCCGTGAATGGTGATAACAATTCTTACCTAGGAAGGTTGATTGACACCCAGCCCACAGTGAGTGCTCCACAGGCAGCTATTTTTAGCTCCTGAGGGTGAGGACACTGACGTTTATCAGTCACCCTCTAAGTGTCAGGCACCGGTCCCATGTAGTCCTTCCAGCTAGTCAATATACAAGGCAGGGGCTGTCATTCCTATTGCACAGATAGGAAACCTGAAATGTGGGCAATCTAGTAACTTTCTGGTAAAAGGCAGAGCTGGGATTGGAACCAAGGTGGGTAGGATTCTGGATGCTGGGGTTCTGACGCTGCCACTTGTGAACATGTTTGTCTGATCCACTAAACCACGATGGCTCTGTGGGCAGTGTTTTTTATTCATCTTCCGTCTTTCGATTGTCCCTAATACCATGCACACTGCTGTACACACCATTGGCACATAATAATTGTCTGTTATATAGAAACAAGTAAACTGAGAGGCCCAAACATACCAGGGGGACAAGGTTGGCTTCTTAAAAATGAATGCCTTCATGGAGGATGAAGGAGGTGGTGGGTGTGATCGCAGAGCCGTCCACGCCCTCTCACAGCACCCATCCTTCCTTCCAGGTGAGCCAGGCCCATCCTTACCGGGATGCTCAGAAATGGCCACAGCAAAATGAAGGGCAACCAGGTTGCTCCCAAACATGTGCTTGTCCCCTGCCAAGGGTATTTTGGGTCGAAGGTCTGGACATGAGTTTTTCCTTACCCTGCAGAGAAGCCAGGTGTCACCCCCTGCTCCCCCAGCAAAGCAGGCCTAATGCCAGACAAGTGGATGGATGTTTTAAGATGAATATTTTCAAACACGTTGTGTAAAATGTCATGCCAAGGAGGGGAACTGGCAGAAGGTCTCTTTAAAGTTTTTTGGGGGGAGGGGGCAGAGCAGACAACAATCCCGGGCTCTGTCTTCTTTTTCAGGTTACGGCCATATCTACCCCAGCACCAGGCTTGGCAAGTACTTGTTCATGCTCTATGCCCTCTTTGGCATCCCCCTGATGTTCCTGGTCCTCACCGACACAGGCGACATCCTAGCAACCATCTTGTCCACGTCCTACAATCGGTTCCGAAAACTCCCGTTCCTCCCTCCTCCCCTTGGCACATGGTGCTCCCGACTGCTCTGCAGGAGAAGGCCTGAGGCCAAGCCGGAGGACAAAGCTGTCCCGAGGATCAGCATCAGTGCCCAGGAGCTCCCGGGGCCCAGACCTGGCGGAGGCCCCTCAGCCCCAGGTGCCAACATGGAGCTGTTTGAGAGACTTCTCGCGCAAGAGAAACAGAACACACTGCAACTGCCCCCAGTGGCCATGGAGAGGAGCACCTCGTGTCCCGAGCTGGCGTCCGGGAGACCCTCATACTCCATCATCAGCAACCTGGATGAAGTGGGGCGGCAGGTGGAGACCTTTGACATCCCCCTCCCCATCATTGTCCTCGTCATTTTCGTTTACATTTCCTGTGCAGCTGCCATCCTCCCCATCTGGGAGAAGCAGCTGGACTTCGAGAACGCCTTCTATTTCTGCTTTGTCACTCTGACCACCATTGGGTTTGGGGATACCGTTTTAGAACACCCTCACTTCTTCCTGTTCTTCTCCATTTACATCATCATCGGGATGGAGATCGTGTGCATCGCTTTCAGGTTAGTGCAAAACAGGCTGATTCATATCTACAAACATCTCTTGCTGTTCTTTACCAAAGGGAAGGAAAATTTAAACACCCCGTTAAAGAGTGAAGACTCCACATGACAGACTCTGGCCAAGATGGTTTCCTTGCCTTGTCTTTTGGGGCAGTGTAGTCAGAGCTGATGGCACTGCAGCCTGTCACCTGAGACCTTGGGGCTTGGAGGCAAATCCTGCCTGAGGGCTGATTTCAGTCTTGAGGCCCTGAAGAAGCGTGGTCAATGCCCTTTGTATCAGGACTTGAGGCAAAAACTATCACCATCTCCAAAGTCCAATTAATTGCCCCGTCTTCATTTTTCAAAAGCCCCACCTTACATAGATGAAACCACTTTACGGATGTCACTGGTTTTCTTGTGACGTGAGAAAAACTTACCTTTGTTCTTGCAATCTGTACTTTCTGCTAAATTAAAATCTTCCTGGGCTGCTCCCCATCTACCCTTGATGAAACAGAGCTAGCCTGGGCAACTTCTTTTCTTGAATGATTGCATGAATGTGTGCAAGATCAGCTCAATCCCAGTCCTTGTCAGATACACTGATGCCACTGAGTGGAATTGCCACCTGTGTTCACAGGGGCCTGGGGTATTTTGGTTGCCAGATTCTGTGTAGATCAGTTTTCTCACTGACTGGCACATGATTGGCACCTCCCGAATGAGCTGGCATGGGAGAGTGTTGATGCTTAAGTGACTGGAGTGGTACATGAAGGGTCAGCACTCACTGGGTATACACACTCCTGAGTCATTCATGAATGGTTGGCATGTGAAGGGGCTGGTCTGGGTGGCAGGTGCTGTAGGTGCCCCACCCATATGCCCATATGGGACTCCAGCTCCGTTTGCCTGAGGACCTTCTCTGGCCACTAAAGTGTGGGCATGTGCAGAGCAGGCTAGAAGTGCCAAGGAGCAGCCTTCACCCAATGACTGATGGGAGTGGGTGGATGTATGGTGCTCAGTTTCTTGCTTCTCCCATGGGCCCATGTTCAACACTGTGGCCCTGATTTCCCCAGCAGAATGGAGCCTCAGGTGTCCTGATCACACCCTGGATTGCCCTCCATCTCCCTGTCTCGTTTCTCCACTGCTATTGAGATCACCTCCAAATAAGCCACTTGCACACAAATCCTTGTTCTCAGTCACTCCTGGGGACCCCAGCCTGGGAGAGGATGTAATGAGTCAGCATATAAACTGGTTGCCACATGCATGGGGTACTACAGGAGTCTTACTATTTCCCTGGTCGGTTATAAGAGATGTCTTCTTTGAGAGAATCAAAGTTTCTTGAATACTTCTTTGAGAAAATCTTGGAAAAATCAACTTGTGTCCTTTGATGAGCAAAATTAGTTAGTTCCTGGGTAAATGGTGAATTTTGCTCCAGGCTCTAGAACAAAAATTGCAAGAACCAATGAAAAGTGCCAGGAGGTTCCAGCTGAAGAGAAGGAAGCAGCTATCTTTTGAGGCTTCTCTGTTCTGTCTTAGGTTCTGGTAGTGCCAAGGGCCAGCTCTCAGAGGGATCTCGGGTCTTCCTTTCTGGATTTTTCCTCCTGTTCTGCACAACTATTAGGTTTTCTGCCCCTTTAACTCTTTAAGACCTACCTCAGGAAATGGAATTGACAAGGTGTGAGCAAGAACCACTGAGAGACGTGAAGCACCAAAAGTGGGGTTTCAGGCAGCAGCCGCCGGGACTCGGGTGTTACGGAGTTTCTTGACATCTCTGAAGTCACAGTAGCCCAGCTTAAGTGCAGCAAAGCCCCTTGAACCCAAAGGTAAGCAAGGCTGGCCGCTCAGGTGAGGGCACATGGTATCATTGAAACGTTCTTCAAAGTTCATTTCAACAGACGTTCCTTGAGTGCTTGCTGTTTTCCAGGCTCAGAGAGGATTCCAAAGACGAGTCAGGTACATCCTCAGAAACGTGCAGGTGATTACAGGTGGTCCCGAGTCCCTCAGCCACTCCCTTCTTGAGCCAGTGGAAAGTCCTGTTCAAGTGCAAACGTGGAGTTTGTCAGGGATACATATTATGCAAATTAAAGGTCACAATCATTTGCTTATTTCATTTGCTAGGGGGTATTCTTCTGTGGTCCTGAGGAAGTGACCCAGCATGCCTTCCTGCTCCTCGTTTCTTGCGCCTCTGCTGCATGCACCCCATATTCCAGCCTCCTTGGGCTATTTACTGCCGCCTCCCCATGCAGGAATGTGAATTCATTCCTCCAAGCCTCTGCTTGGTTCTCTACCTTGCCTCTACACTGACACCCCAGGGGCTTCACCCTCTCTCCCAAGATCCAGAAGTTATTGGTCTGGGTGCCACCTGGGCACTGGCTTTCTAAAAGGTCCCAGGTGATCCCAATGTGTGGTCAGAGTTGAGAACCATGCACCAGCTGCTCTGTCAGCATGAACGCCCTTCTCCCTTCTAGGACTGATGAAAGACTCACCTTCATGCCTCAGCCCACATGTCACCCACTCTGGGTAGTGATCCTGGAAGTGGTCTCTCTGGTCTCGCCTATGCTCCCACTGCATCTGCTGTGACCCCTTCCTCTGTTACAGGATTGTAACCATGTCCTCTCCAAATTCCAAGCTGCCCAAATAAAGCGATTGTGTCTCTTTTTATCATCATTGTTCTCTCCCCCTTTCAATCCTCCCATCCCTGCTCCACAGCATCTGCCGCAGATGGGAGAGCTCTGGGTGGAACGTAGGTGCACACAAATGCCAAGGAGAGTGGCCAGCACTTACTGCACACTTACCATGTGCCAGGCCCCAAGCGGAGTCCTTTATGAGCGCCACCTCGTCGAATGCTCCCTGCAACGCCGAGAGAACTGCCCCAATTTGTTCTGCCACATGCCCATGTGGGTGAGCAGTGTGGGATAGGTTGCCGAGAGACCAAAGACCCAGAGACAGCAAACGAGACATATGGGCTTATTGGGAGTTACTTACAGGGAAGGTCCAGTGGCGGCCAACTGGACAGCAACGTGCACCCGCTACCGCCCCCTGAGAGAAGCTTAAGTAGGCAGAGGAACAAAGGCTGCATGCTTGCCAAGGGGGATTGTCCCTGTATGACCTGCATTCCAAGGACCAGAGCGCCCCCAGAGAGCCTCTATGTTCCCTCAGACCACGAGGGTCTCAGTGCTAACTCTCCCATGAGAGCAGCTGGGTTGGCCAAGTCCAAGATTGTTATCATCTTGAGTGTTGGCACATAGCCCAGACAGGAGCCTTAAGGACACATGGTCTTTAAAGGGGCATGCCAGCTACTGCCCCTACATCATTTTACAGGGGAAGAAACTGGGGCCAAGTAACTAGCTCAAGGACTCACTGCTAGTAAGTGATAGAGTCAGGATTCACACCCAGGTCTAATTTGACTCTAAGTCAGCGGTCCTCAGTGGACCACCAGCATGCCCTGGGAACTTGTTGGAAATGCAGATTCTCAGGCTCCACCTGAGACCTGTTGAATCAAAATGCTGGGAGGTGAGCTCAGCAAAGCTTTAACAAGCCCTCCAGGTGGTTCCAATGTTTGATTCAGAATGTTTGATTCTCAGGCTTGAAAACCACTGCCCTCACTGCTCCTTCACAGCCTCCCTTATAGCCAGCACTCTGTGTGGACAGCCTTCTAGGGAAGGTGTGAGGTCCCTGCTCCTGGACAGGGGAAGGGGTTCTGAGGCGTAGGACCCTCTGGCCAGGGAGGCCTCCTGTAAGGTCACTGGAACTGACCCTGTCGCAATAAGAGCGAATACTCTGTCTTCTCCAAACTCAGGGTTTCTCTTGGTGGTCAGAGGAGGCTGCTTGCTGCCTGCCGGGCCTCACCTGGGGGCTCCTGATTAAAGCCCCAGCAGGACTTGGTTCTGTGACAGGGGCTTCCTGGGGCTCAGCTTGGCTAGAATCTGCCTGGAGAATGAGAGGGCCTAGAAGTTGCCCAGAAGCTTCTGGACTCAAAAGGCAAAAGGGAGTATGTTGGTGGTCACCTATTGCACCTGCCACTCATGGCGGAGAAACGCCCTGCCTCCAAGCACAGCTCAACTCTGACCTCCGGGCCCCGGACCGAAGCCTTTGGCGGGAGGCTGAGCCAGCATCTGTGGAGTTCGTCCTGTCCAGGTGTCCACCAGCCTGGCACGTGGTATTTAGCTCCTCCCCCTCCCCCTTTTTTTTAACAGAAGAAGAAACTGAAGTTAAGGGGCGTTAAGCGACTCGCTGTAGATGACAGCCAAGGAGATAGAAGTGGGGGGAGGTCAAGGAGGAAGCGGCAGCTCCGGGAGGCTCAATCCCCGCGGACCCTGGGGCCTGCGGAGCGGAGCTGTCAAGGGAGGGGCACCTGGTCCCTGCTCGCGCTGCCAGGTGGGGTCGGGGAGCGGATGGAGAATCGCTCCGGCAGGCAGGTTCGCTAGGCTGGTGTCGGGCGGCCAGGCTGCCCTCGGCCGGCCAGACCGCGTTTCCCTGAGCGGCCACCAGGTGGCGCCGCCCGACCGCGCGGGCCCGCTCTCCGGGGCCGGCAGGTGGTGCGTCCTCTGCTCGGCTCCCGGCCGCTCCACCTCCCCGGGCCTCCGAGGACCGGGCCTCTGGGAGCTGATGTCTCCCGCCGTGGTCCTCCGGGAAGAGGAGCATCAGACCACGCTCTTCCTCTGTGACTCTCTGAGAGGGGACCTCTGACTTCTGTCCTCGCCGCGGTCCCCGAGGAGGAGGCTCCTCGGACCTTCCTTCCCAGGGGTGGACACTCGGGAAGGGGCACCTCGGACCCACGTCCATGGAGCAGCCCTCTCAAGAGGGCGCTTCGGACTCTTGTCCTCACCATGGCCCTGCGAGAGGGGGCGCCTTGGACCACTGTCCCCTATCCTTCAGTGCCTGAAATGTTACCACTTGAGCCTCTTGACAGGTGGTGTCCTGTCAATAACTCCCCCTTTCGCTCGCCTTCACCCTGGGCGCTGCCTTCTCCGATCCATCGGCCTCACTCCGAAGGGCAGGGCTTTTCGGCAGAGGGTCTGGAGCTTGCAAGAAAGACCTAGTAGCTTCTACAATGTGCGTATGCCCTGTCCCACCTGGGATCTGCTGGGATGGAGGCTCCGAAAGTGACACCCAAATGGCTGTGTTGTTGGGACTGTGGGTTTGCTTTCTGTTTCTAATGCTGCTGCCTGCTGGGTGATTCTCACCGCGTGGGGTTGAGAACCAGGGACTAAAGGGAGAATGCCCGAACAGGCAAGCTTTGACAGGAAGGGGCTTGGGGAGGCCCTAGGGACAGAGGGGCTGGGAGTCAGATGACCTGGCCGAGTGCCAGTCCTGGCTCTGACCCTGCCCTGCTGAGTGACCCAGACAAGTGAGGGATTGCTTCTGGGTCTCTCTGGAGAGGAGAGGGTTGGCCCAGGCAGCCCCTCTGGTCCTGCTGACCTCCAGGGCTTGAGCAGCTCCTGCTTTGATGGGTGGGAAGCAGAGGTGACCTGATCCCCTACAGCACTGGCCTGTGGGCTACCGGGTGCATTGCTCTGACCTGGGCCTCAGCTTCGGAGGGTAACTGGCAAAGGGGAAGAAGGGAAAGAAACCAATGTTTAGTGAGCAACTAGTATGTGCCAGGCTCTCTGCCCACATTACACCTTTAAACCTTTCTAGCTACATCTGCAGGGTTCATGGTGATACACCCCCTGGCCCTAGCATGGTGCTGGAGCATAGTAGGTACTCAGTAAACATCTGTTGGGTGAACAAATCCCTGTGATTGGTCTATGGAGAAGATAAATGTTGGTGCTTGGGTCATAGCTTTTGCCTCTGAATGCTTGTGCCAGACCACTGGGGTGGGCCCTGCTCAGAACTGCTGGAACCTTCCCAAACACTGCCCCCTCCCCAATTTGTGTGGGCCAGGCCAAACCCAGGAAGATGGTGCTGGAAGCAAAGGATCAGAGATGTCCACTGACTCTGATCAAGGTCAGTGTGTCACGGGCAGAGGTAATTTACCTGGGATGGACGAAGCGTGAGCTCAGGGTCCCTGGCTCACCTGGGACCTCCCATGGCCAGGAGAAGCTATGGCAGTGCGGTCACACAGTTGTGTGTTTTTGTATTTGTCAGCATTGTAATTTGTTATTTTTTCTCATTCCAAATATTCATGTTCACACCTCGTTTTGAATGGGTAATTTTGTATTTTTTTCTTAAAGAGGGCCCCTTAAGTTGAATAGGCATCCACAAAACCTGATTCCCCCCTGGCCAAGGGGTGCTAAACAGAAGGAAATGCTGTCCAGAGGGGCCGCCCCTTGAGCTGGCCTCCTGCTGACTTTCTGATGTCCTCCCCAGGCAGAGGTCCAGCCTTGCTTCCATCAGGCGCTGATCCCCTCCTGCCACCTCAGCCTCTGCACACACGGTGAATAAGC